TCTCCGCTGCATCTGTTCCCTCTTGCCTTATCTCAATTTCGGTAGCGATGTCTTGTAATCATGCTGCGTATGTCTGTACATCTTCCTCCGGCTTTGTACACATGCATAAGATTTATGAACTTGAAGGTTAAAAGGACTTTTTCAAAACGCACTAGCATAACACGCTGAAATTCCTCAAAATCCTCAACGTCCTTAATCCGTCTATCCTTTCTGCCGAATTCTCTTGCTATCCCCGTAAGTCTTGGCTTTGCTGCTGCTAATATTTGCGCTTTTGTCTATCCTGGCAATTTTGCTACATCTACCTACGAGTCAAAATCTCACTGATGCAGGGACCTTCTGCTTGTCCTGAGAACGCAGACAGTAAAGGAACTAAACTACCTAATCCTCGTAAAGTTGCGCGAGGATTTTCGCCTTCCATTTCTATGCAACTATATACTAGAATTTTCTATGTAGTGTAATCTTGGGCTCTCTAGGCCTCACAAAATGGGATCCGTAAAACCTGTCTATTGCGAACAAAACCTGCGTTCAGCGGACACTGCCTAAAACGGACTAACTAATTAAATGCTTGGATGTTGGTTTCATCCCACTCCTGGCAACAATGTGAGATTGGCAGTGGGCCATGGGTAAATTCCCAAATGATCACTCAATCTGCATGGGCCAGTAAGGCCCAATCTCGGGGTCGATGGATAACTAGGAGGGCAAATCGAGTGGGGAGTTCGTAGGTAAGTCGGCAGGTACCGTTTAGACAGGAGACAGGTTAACAAAATAACAAAGCATTTATTGAATAACTAAACCAAACATACAGGAATACTAAGGTTAAATGCAGTTATATTAAAATATTTACAGAAATTGGGGACGAATTTCAGAACTATGTCGCTGCCCTAATTTCTAGTTCAAGAGTGAGCTCTTTGACAAAATCTAAATCTTCTAAATACCTCTCAGTGTAATGGAGAGTTGGCACAACTGTCAATATGGAAGAGGTAGGAGTCCTCGGTATCTTCTATCTGATTTCTTCTCCCTGTAGCTAGATCGGGTTGACTGTATGGAGGTTCGGGAGTAGAGGTGGCACGATCATCAAGTATAACTTCCTATGACGAATCGCCCTGAACTTCCGTTGTAATGCCCTTTTATAGCCTTGTCCTGAGAAAGCGAACACGTGATTGACGATGTTGACAATAATAGTGCATTCTTCACACCTAAGTGTAAACTTTCCCATCTAATTGTTATTAAATCGGTGATATCCGATCGAGTTCAAATTCTTCGGGTTTTTTCCCAGCTTATTTACAATTAAGAGAAAATTTAGATATTTAAAAAACCCGTAAAATTCCTTGCAGTCACACAGATATTTTCATTTGTTAATGATTCGTATTTATAGTTTTTGTTAATGCTTAGTTTCTTCATTCAGTCTGAAAGTTTTAAATGCGTAGCTAAAAATTACTAGGAAAAACGAAAAGTTAGTATATTTGCACGAGATCACACCAGGAAAGGAGAAAAATCTGTATAGGTTTAATTGAGGAAGATACCGTTTCTCAGTGTTAAATGCCTATATCGTCACAAAACTTTCCTTACGAATTGTCTGTATTTAGACTATTTACAACGACAATTTTGTTACGATAGTAATGAGGTATTTCGTTATCGCGTGCTCTGCTAAGTTGACTCGAATGCACAAAGCAAACTTTTTTTCTTGTACCTATTTCAAGTCACGGAAGTTTCATCTCATATCTAATTAAACAATGCTTAATATTTACACGTAGAGTACATTTTTAACGTCGATTGCAAACGTGAAACAGAAAATTTGGCCTTTTCTGAAAAAAGCCAGCAAAGCGTTCAAAGCAGTTTTTAATTCATCACAAAGAACTGAAAAGAATACACACAACTACATAATTAACATTAGGTAAAATCCGTAATTCATTGCTGTATCAATGGTGAATATAATAATCGCCATAATTTTATTAAGTTGAAATACAAATGTTATAAAATAATCTCAGCTAAAGATGCTTCAACTGAGTAACAAAATGCAGTAAAAAAGAAGCATATCCAAATAATTATAATTTTAATCTTTAAACATTTTTGATTAAATGTTTTTTCTCTAAGAGATTAATCGAGATTTACAAGATTCTGAAAACAAATTTTCGAACTTTACTCTTTTTTGCATGAAAATGAATTACCGACAAAAATAGGTTATTTACAAAACTTTAAAAAACGCGAATATCAAAACAGTTGCAGGTGTGTAATTTTCGGTAATGTGAATAATGTTTAATAACGTGACCTAAATGTTGTATAAGAAGCCAATAACAACCATAATTATATCGTATAAGTGAAATTACTTGCAATATAATTTAATCCACAAATTATTAATAGATTCCACGTACTTCGATAAACTTATATGTGATTTAATCTCACAATTAGATACGCATTAATTACCGAGGAAACATTCATCTTTATAAATTGAAATTCGTTTATAATTTCCATAGAAACAATTTTTTATAAACTGCTTTTCAAAAGATGTTATACCGTTCACAATTACTGTATTTTTGTTTATCGATAAATTTTTCTTAAATTAGAACTTCTGGTTACGCTAAAAATCATCGTAGCTGTAATTTTTTAATGCACACGCCAATTTTCTGATGCAAACTATTTAAAAATGTTAATAACAATTTTAATTACCTTTCACAAAAAATTAATCCGTTCCCGATGTTTGGACTTATACCGAATNAAAGAATACACACAACTACATAATTAACATTAGGTAAAATCCGTAATTCATTGCTGTATCAATGGTGAATATAATAATCGCCATAATTTTATTAAGTTGAAATACAAATGTTATAAAATAATCTCAGCTAAAGATGCATCAACTGAGTAACAAAATGCAGTAAAAAAGAAGCATATCCAAATAATTATAATTTTAATCTTTAAACATTTTTGATTAAATGTTTTTTCTCTAAGAGATTAATCGAGATTTACAAGATTCTGAAAACAAATTTTCGAACTTTACTCTTTTTTGCATGAAAATGAATTACCGACAAAAATAGGTTATTTACAAAACTTTAAAAAACGCGAATATCAAAACAGTTGCAGGTGTGTAATTTTCGGTAATGTGAATAATGTTTAATAACGTGACCTAAATGTTGTATAAGAAGCCAATAACAACCATAATTATATCGTATAAGTGAAATTACTTGCAATATAATTTAATCCACAAATTATTAATAGATTCCACGTACTTCGATAAACTTATATGTGATTTAATCTCACAATTAGATACGCATTAATTACCGAGGAAACATTCATCTTTATAAATTGAAATTCGTTTATAATTTCCATAGAAACAATTTTTTAAAAACTGCTTTTCAAAAGATGTTATACCGTTCACAATTACTGTATTTTTGTTTATCGATAAATTTTTCTTAAATTAGAACTTCTGGTTACGCTAAAAATCATCGTAGCTGTAATTTTTTAATGCACACGCCAATTTTCTGATGCAAACTATTTAAAAATGTTAATAACAATTTTAATTACCTTTCACAAAAAATTAATCCGTTCCCGATGTTTGGACTTATACCGAATCGGACGTATACCAAACCAACCTTTCCCATAAGAAGTAATGTAAAAATGATTAATCCGTTCTCGTGTAAAAAATGGCTGGCTTTGAACACCTCCTTTCCTGGCTAGTTCCTGCTTGATCTTTCGTGAGATCAGCATGTATCTTTTTAGCTTTCTCGCAAATAATTGCTTCCAATACGTTGTCTCCAACACTGTTTTTCAATTATCTAAAGCAAAAGCAATTTTTCGACATGATCTAATGTCTTCGATCTCTGTTTAGAAATTGATTTAACCCCTTTCGCAACGTTAGCAGATTTAATAATGTCTTCATTTTTCGCGATTGTCCATATCGTTGTTTTCCAAATACGGTAAACAACAGTTAAAATCTCGAACACGCGTGCCATCTTCGCATTTCTCAACAATCTCTTTCATCAATTCCATTGTAATTCTAGTCATTTTTTTAGTTTTCTGTCGCTTTTCATTTGCCTTTTTGCGATTCGTGATTAATAAAAATAATAAGATTTTACTTACGAATTAAAATCAGAAGAAATTAAACAAAGTTATAAACCGTTGCACCGCGAACGTCTAGTCTGGTCTAGTACACCGATAGTGCTACTTGTTCATTGATGGCGCGTATAATTGAATTATGTCGTATACCGAACAAAAGTCGTATACCGAGCAAAATTTGTTTCGTCCAAACAGGACGTATTCCGAATTGGACGTATTCTAAAGCAGACGTATACCGAGTTTCCACTGTATTCTAAATTTATATCTAAAAAATGACTAAATGAAATAAACCACATTTACAAAAACATAGCAGATTAACTTTTCTATCAATACATTCAGGTAAAAATCGTTTTTAAAAAGCATCGAGAACACATAGGTTTGGAGAGAAATGATTGAGAGTACACCATAAGCAGTCGAATGCGGTTTCTTATTTCTAGTTTTTGCTATAATGTAAAATCTTATAAAATTTAACAGACAAATTTATGTATTATCTGCTAATGTTAAAGTAAATAAATATTTATAAAGTTTTATTTATGATGCACTCGTAGTGAATAATAAAGTACAAAGCATTAGACTATTTTAGTTCTTTCTTGAATCAATGTCAGATATATTTAATTACTATCGTATTGTTTCATCTATAACACGAAATATAGTCCGCGAGACATCTTTAAATTTAACGATATAAACTAATAAACTATACTATATAATTTAACATTTATTAATAATTATAAGACTGAAAACATATTAAGAGGACAGTTGTGAGTTTAACAGCCGATGTTAAAAATAAAATGAAAGTTCCGATTATATTTAATTACTAATTTTTTAAAGATTAATTACAGTCATGTATAATAGTAATTGAACTGATTAAAGTTTAACGCGATAAGACGAACTATCTCACTGAAAACAGCAACTTTATCTTATCACTGCATGCAATTACACTCTTTTAGTTTTATTATTCGCTAGAATTGAAACGTTACATCTCGCTGTGTTAAATTTTATAATTTAAAACATCAAAAAAAGTTTACACTTAGAAGTAAGTAATTGAATTGTTTATTCATTAAATGTATCAGCCATTTAGGCTATTTTATTCGGGTAAATAATGATACAAAATACAACCGCTATCTGAATGAGTTAAGGCTCTTGTATCCAAAATATAGCAAGCACTTCGACGTCGTTTAATTCGAAATTGAAAATTTGAACATTTTAAATATATTATTTGAATTATTTATTTAATATATAACATAAAAATGTAATTAATTAAATGAAAACCTTCTTTTAGTTTTCAGTTTATTAAAAATTCCGCTTTCCTTTTTGCTGTCGACAAAGTTAATTTTGGCGAAAGGATTAAGATATGGCCTCTAAGAAAAAGAGAAAAAGCAAAAAGTAAGTATCCATTCAGTGTTAATAATTAATATACTTTGTTTATTAAATAAGAGTGCGATTAATAATTTTTTAATTTAAATATCGATCTCTTCTTTTTCTACCCAGTGCTTGTGATATGAGACACATACAAAAGTATGTTGCAAGAAAGGTTATTGTGAAGCCCAATATTTCCTTCACCCAAATTTTTGCTGTTATATATATTTTCGTCAATTGTCATAAAACTTATCTCTATAATTAAAATTTTAATCAATTTATTTTAACCTTGTAGCTAATAATGTATATATATATATTTTTTTTATAATAAGTTGGAAATTTTATTGTGTTTTTAACTCTATATGTATTTTATCTCCCTTTATTGTTTTGTATGGTTGTGCAACGAGCAACTGTTAACTGCCAGATAAGACGGTCTTTGCACCCACATCTTGAAGGTGTGTCTAAACGCGAGACCGGGATTTTTTTATGTTTATCAACCAACGTTGTAACGGAATTTCGCTTATATTTTCGATTTTAGGACAAGATTTCTAAATATTTTGTAATACTGGTTAAAATAATTCAAAGAAACAAATTAGAATAAAAAATGAGTAATCTATCTGTTATAAATCTCACAATATGCTATGGAAAAGAAGAAGAAAATAATCGTCTTTTTCCTTTTTTTCAAACGTAAGATTAGAGATGCTACACTATCTATATCACGTAAACTCATGTAATTCTTAATGTACAAAAAGGAAGGAAAACCACTAGATAAGCAATCACACTTATCACAAATTATCTCAACTTCCAAAATTCGAGACAAAATAATGTTTGGTCAAAACGAAAAATAAAATAAGAGGAAATGACGAAAAGCAAAGACTCAATGAAAGATATAGAGAAAGTCTTAGTCAGGAAAATGTATGAAAAAAAGAAGACAAAACAGTGAAGAAGAAAAAAGGAAGAGAAAGCGAAAGTGAGAAAGTGAAGGAAAATTAGAGAAAAACAGAAAGCAGACAAAAGAGATGAAAAAGAAAAAAATCAAAGCAACATCTAGAAGAGAAGAACACTCTACTTGGTATTTTGAAAGTCGCATACCCACTTGGTACTTCTCGTTTTACAAATACAAATAGGTTAACTTCCTATAACCGATTTTGTACTTATTCACTCTATTATTCTAAATTAAGTTCAAGAATTGAGTTTCGTTTTTCCATAAAATGTTTTCCCTTTGTTCTTAAAGTAGTTAACTTGACTTTGCATTTATATTCCTGAGAAGCTTATTCTTGGACTTCGGAATGACTCTTACTTTCGCGCCTTAAGTATCTGCCTGTTTTCTTTTTTTCTGTCTAAATCAGATGTGTGTCCGAAAACAAACCTGGTTTCAGGGACCTACTCTAAATTCTCGGAATCCAATTTTTGACTACTCCCAAACACTCGCATTTAGACAACTATTTACGAGTTTTCTGTGAAAATATATTATATAGCGATTTGCGAACTGAGGAGTAATTTAATTCATTTCCTAACCTTATAATAACTATACTTGTAGATAAAACTAACTTTATAACTAAAAAAATTGATCTTGGAGTGTTCAGAATTAAGACTACGTATAGAAACAGTGTGAACAAAGCTCGCGATTGAAATAAGATTGGATATTGATGATTTTTATTATGACAATCGGTTTAAGTCGTTTATATTGATCCAGATTACCAGAGAGATTACTAGTAGTTAAAATGTGGAAAACAAAATAATAGTTTAATATACTATATATAATTACTATTACATAAAAAAGTACAATGTAGAAAAATTATAACTGTTTTAATTAATTTTCTACATTACAGTTTCTCAACAATTTTTCTTTCTTGGTCTTTTTTTTTGGCTTAATACTTTTCTGTGGTCCTCATAACAGTAGCTCGAAAAAAATTAAAAATTTACGTTAACAATCCATTACATAAATATTACAAGAGAAATTTTTAATTACAATAATTATAATATATAATGGTAAGTTATATAACTTCCAACCTTCAAATTTAAGATGCTAGCACATACAATATTATTATATATACAGTAGAGCGTCGATTATCCGAAAGTCAATTACCAGAAACGTCAATTATTCCAAAGAATTACAGTCAGTAAAATTTAAAGTTTCGCCAATGNCGAAATCAGTTGTGACGTTTTATTTAAAATACTTTTTATATAATTTTTAAAAAATGGCAAACAACTTAATCTTAAGCGTAGGAATTAGTTTAATAAATATTTGTAAATAGAATTAAAAAGTAGAATCTTCATTAGGCGTGACATAACCTAATATACTCAGCATATAACACACGACATCCTTTATATATCTCCATTTCTCGAACTACTAAATTTTAATAGTATAAATTCCCTAGTACAGAAGCCTTTCTGCAACATTTAAGAAATTTTGGATTAAAGGTGCAAGAAATATAAAACTTTAAATTAGGTGATTACAATCGTAGTATTGAACACAGATATATTGACATCGATACATACAGAAAAAATTGAATTTCTTGCATAATGTAAAAATCTTAAGAAAAAGTTTTTTCAGCACTCGTAACACTTTTCTTTTGTTATATATTACAGATTTGAGAAAGTAATAGTGCTTTTGTAACGTAGATAATCCAGTTTAGACATTATTAGACAGTTTTCAATGAAGTCGTTTTCGTAATTACATTCATCAGATGTATGAAAAGCAATCTTCGTTTTCTATTTTATTTTATAGTGTAATTTTTCGTATTATCTACAAAATAACTTATTAATTTTTCTTGCAAAATTCATCAGCACCCGTTAATGCAATTTTGTATCAGGTGGAGGATATTGAGCAAGGACCTAGTAACAGTGAACCTAGTAAAAAGCAAAGGTAAATAAACGATCAAGTGTCAGCAATGTGGTGAGAAGAATTCTTCATGTTTTTAATGTAAAGTGTCAGATCCTATAACAGAAGGCTGACACTTGATCGTTTTTAACACTAGTAAAAAGCATTTATTATTTAACGACTATAAAAATCATATTTATATTAATAATATCTCAAAAGTTCAGCAAATTTTTTGCAAAATAATAATTTATCAAGAAACACGCGCCCGCCGTTCGATGAGCTGCTCTAGGACGAAAACAAGCTTAAGTAAATGCGTTCTCAAACGGTGCACACTCGGTAAGTAAACCTACAATTTATTGTTTATAGCATAGTTTATATCGATTTTTTTTCGAAAAATTATACGTGTTTTGAAAATGTTGAGTAAAATTAGTCTATAATCGATTAATTTTATGGAAGAAAACATTTCAAACAGCTGTAGTCTTTAGACTGCACACGTGCTGGGCTGAAATTGGCTAATGTATTTAAGTGATTTCTAGAACACGAAATTTATATAAAACGTAATGTATCTATCGTGTTATAGGGAGTATACAGTAGATTATAATTTAGGTAATTCCAGCAAACTGAATGTACGTAGAAATTATTTGATATATAAAAATTCAATTGATAACTATAAGTGAGATTCATGGCGTTGTATAATTAAGAAAGATGTAAACATAATTACCAAGTTTTGTAGAGATTCACTAAGTGATACGTTAAAATTTAAGAAAAGCAGCTTAAAAATTTTTAATTAAACTTTATTTTTTCCTTACGAAGTACATTAAAAATTGTTAGTAAAACCTTCGGTCATTTATGAAAATGTATTGATATTTATGTTAACAGCATGGCTAATACGTATGATAATGCAATGTTATATTTAATTTTCTTTTTTATTTGTCTTATATCTTCGAATATATGACTTATAGAACAAATCAGTAAACAAATAAACATATGACAGATATATAAGAAAGGTGAAATTTAACACATCAAATGATGTATCACACGTATGTCCATTTACAACAAGCCAATAAATCCAACACGTTAACAGAAATACAAATACCATTTGAATAACTTGGACAGCAGTTATCAACATGGCAACTATTGAAAATATCTTTATTCCCATGCATTTTAAAGTAAAATAACTGTACATCAGCGAATGTACAAAAATATTAATGTATGCAGACGTCAATAGATAACTGGACTCTTTGAAAGTAGCATACCATGTTAACATAATCACCATTACGTGATGATAGCAGTGAAGAAACATCAAAGTAAAATAATTAATTTGATTACACATAAAATTAATGTCCAAAATGAAAAGTGAAATACAAGAGGCCGCTTTCATAAAAACAATAACAGATACAACCAAGATCTATCAAAACTCGATCGGCTAAGTATCGTATTCTGTTGTGTTTTAATAAAAAAAAATGAAAATAAAAAATAAATTGAGCTTAAAGAAACGTTTTCGTGGTTTTTATTCAAGTTACGAAACTAACATCACAAGGATTAGCAACAATAGCTTTAAAATGTAAAAACAGTCTATCTTTGTGAAAAATAAAGACTGTTATTTTTGATAAGTTTTTTTTTTTTGAAATTTGCTAAACCAAATTGTTAAAATAATGAGTTCTGTTAATAAAATACAACCGAGTAGATATCTTAAATACTACACTAAAACAGGATTTTTCAAAATTTCCCTACCGGTAAAAAAGGGAGTGTTAAGATTTACCCTTAAAATCTCATCTCTTATTGTACTATTTTATATGCGATTTTTGCTTGTTTGTGAGATATCGAACATATGTTGAAACGCATTTAAATTCATATTATTACTATGACAAAAGGGAAGATGAAATTATTGCGTCCGGTGAAATCCAGTAAAATCGGTCATAATAAAAAAAATAACAATATTTAGATATCGATACTTTTTGCCCAGGAAACGCCGGTCTCACCTGCAGGTTTTCTAATATTCATTTTAGTAATTTGTGACCAAATTTGGGTTCAGGACAGTCAATATATTATTTCAATTAGATGATTAGTGTTTTTATTTAGATAAATGGCTAAATAGATAAATGGCATTAGGCTAAAATTTAAAAAATATAACTGTTGTAAAATTACATACCATCGAATTGAAATTATTAAATACAAAATTCTATCTAATAATTTAATTTTAAACAAAACGAACTTCCGATTAAAACACAGCAAAACTACCTTAGTTATATATTTAATTTTTACAAATGTAGTTGTATGTATGTGATGTAACATTTTCACTTACGTTTATAAGTATAACATAAAAATATAATGCATGAAAGTACCACTCCTACAAAACGAAAAAAAAAACATTTAAAAAAATTGATAAGGTAACAATAAGGCATAAGTTTTAAATAGTAAGAATTATTATATACATTAATGTAAATTAACATTATAATATTA